ATTACTTCAATCAGCTATGGGTTTTTAAACTCATCGAGTTGATTTGTAATCAACGTGTGATTTTTAATGGATTTTCAACGTCGATTTATTGTTCATTCGATCATCGATAAAATTTACAATTCGATTAAATCGTTTAATCTTTATCGATTTAAGTTTACTGCCGAACTGTTCTTACTTTTATCGGTAATGAACAATATCCACGAACACGTTTACCATACACTCGACACACGACGGTATACTCGATTTAGGACGACGCACCGTTATCGTGTTGTTTGTTTAATGTTGTAATTATTAAATATGTTTAGACGCGTGTCTAGTAGAGCTTTTATTATTTTGTATCTGTCGTGTGTGATATGACAATGAATAATGGACTTGGTAAGTGCACACCGAGCGTGTGTTCTATCGATTATGACATTACGTCCAATGCATTAACTATTCTGAACAGTTAGATCCAAGTCCGTGGGTGTGCCCCTGTGCACTAAAAAGTCAAAATAAAATGAAGTGTGTGTTCGTACGTGAGCGATTAGTTGTTCGATTGATTCTTTGGCTTGTAGACAGCAAACGCGATAACTTGTAGTGTTTGTTCTCTATTTCATTTATTTTTTATAATGACATTTCTGTACATTTTTTTCACTGCAGTCAGTATTTTATGAAACCATAGTTGTTTTATAGCCGAGTTGACATGAAATTACGGCATTTGTTAATTATAACTCAACCTTTTAGCGTACCTGCAATGTCATTCTTGACACTACTGTCCCTTCGGCTGATTGGTTTTGCCGTAGACCAGATAGTGTTGTTGTTATTGTTGATATATTAAATTTATTGCCTTCGGTGTTGGCGGATTTCGCGTTATCGTCGTTTTTGTAATAAACAGCCAATGTCTGGTAAAAGAGGTTGTTTTTGGTATAGTTTAACTCGTAACAAACTGTGACGTAATTACACAAGTTAATAAAGTAGTGCGGCTTAAGTTTTTCAATATAGTTGAAGTGGTAGTCCCGTTCAAATTCTATTAAAGCGCGTTATTGTTATTATGCGCCAATCGAAACTTTATCAATCAATGAACCTTTTGTCTTACAATGTATCACTTAATTCTATTTTATTAAGAAAATTAATTTATTGATTCTCTCCAGGTTTTTCATATTTTATATTTGTTTTTATGTTTCTATTTAATCGGAACACAAAGAAATAGATAAGCTTCTATTTATAACTTTTANAATCGGAACACAAAGAAATAGATGAGTTTCTATTTATAACTTTTATGAAATTTATCGATTTTTAAAGGAGAACACTGTCGTTTTTTGTGTCGATAACAGGTGTTTAGTACTGTACTTCTAACAATAAATACAACAGTATTGTATGAAATCAATAGTTTTTATATTATCTTAGAATATTAAATGTAACACACATTGGTCCTCTGCACAGACAATTGTATTATTTTACTTATCGCATTAGTAAAGTCGTAATAAATGTTGTGTAGGAGACTAAAATTATAAATAAATATTATTTAATTGATAATGGTCATGAAAACTAAGTAAACATTGTCTACTGATATCCAAATCGTCGCACGCATAAAGTTAGTTTATCTTTATTATAAAAATAATTCTCGAATAAAATAAAAATTATATTGAGTTTATATAGTTAAACAAATATTACTTAATTAAGAAATCAATTGAATACTCCAATGAACGATCCACATTGTACAATTAAATTTCTAGTTCATAATAACAGAATATTTTATTTAATATTCCATTATCATGATCCTTTGTAAGTACCTTAGTTATTCACTATGAAAGTTATTTAAATTTGAATACTGTTATTATTTATCATTATTTGCAATATAAATTTAAAAATACTTCCTTTGATTTCTTTTAATATAAAATAAAAAATCTCGCCTCTTCAATGATATTTCGATTCTAGATGTATTCTTTTAATTCATTTTATATGTTTCTTTTTTTTATATGCCATAAATCTATTTTTATATAATACTCTCGATACGTTATTATATTGATTGATTATTTTGTTAATACTTGATTATGTACTCTGTCCAATGATTAATTGTTTTGTTTGGGGCTAAAGTTCACAAATGCCAGAAAAGAAATTTAGGCTAGTAAAAAAAAAAAAAACTAGTTATCAAACGACAGTTATGGCTATGTCACCTATAGTGGTTTATCTGGAAAAATGATTATTTTTTTGGATTGTTTATACATCAAAAAGAATACAGTAAAATTTATTTATTATTTTCACTGGATACGTTTTTAAATACCATTTAGCTATTTATTTTAGTCTATTGTTATAATAGTAACATTTTGCTATACTGCTCGTACAATGTTAAACTAACATTTCCTGTGTGTGGTCTATTGTTCGTGCAATGCATTATAGTTTTCAGACTATGTCGATGAATAATTATTCAACAAAATGACCCGAAATTATAATTAATTAAAATTGACCACAGTTACAGTTTTTTTTCTGCACGCGATTTAATACAGCTGTTTTATATATTGACTACGTTCTGGACCGTAAAATGTTATTATGACTTATAAAATCACCTCTTTGAAAGTAAGTCATTGTAGTTTTCTACTTGAAGACTGTTCGACCGGAACGTGATTATATTTTCAATACACATTCACTGTAGTTGTCGTCGTCACCCTACAGAATGTTAACGATTCCATACATATATAGTTATCCCAAACGACTGTGCAAGCGCATCCGACAAACGATGAGTTCTTAGCCCCACCAGGTACTGGCTCTCTTGACAGTAATAAATAACAATAATCAGCGCGTTTTTCGTGTCATTGATATTACTACTAATTCCTGTATGCGTTTTCTTAGCGTATCAAATGAAATTTTTAATTTCATACAGACATGTGTACATGATTGATTGGTACATGCGAAGTACTGCCAAAAAAAACTGCAACCTTGTAGCCATGCAAAAACAACAATAAAGTTATAATTCGTGATGTTCGGCGCCTTTGTACACACGGAACGACCGTTCAATAAAAATGTCATCAANCGGAACGACCGTCCAATAAAAATGTCATCGTGCACCGTTTTTCCAAACATATTCGTTGAAATCTTATAGTCGACACATAATACTGCTGTCATTTTTAACGTGTGTCGTTCGACGTTGCCAGGAAAAATTCATTGCGCAGATATAAACTGAGCCGTCAAACAGTCGCCAAATAAAGAATGAAACCGTATACGAGACATATAATATTTCACCTCAACTTTTCGAGTGTTATATCACATTATGTCAGTAGGTGTATTCACTCGAACTGAGTGTTTGTCGTTGTTAAATGAAAATTCTAGATAATATATTTTAACAGGTACTATGTTACCCCCGACGACCTCTATTTTGGCTAAAAAAATTTATAATAGAAAAAATAAAAGAAGCGATTAATATTCAATTAAGTTCACCACCAGTCGACCGGATACGGTTGAGTAGTTACAACACATTCAGTGCACTGGCATAATATTATAATTAAACGTCTACGCATATATTAATATCAATTATAATTATATTGAGTTGTTGTCTAGTCGTTGATTTTCTTATCAGGTTATATTGCGTTTATTTGCAATTGTTAGCACGATAAAAAAATGTATAGAAATCAAATATGAATGTAAATGATTATAATTTATAATTTTATAATGTTTTGTCATTTTGCAATCGTTCGTTCTCTGATAAATTCGAGTTACAAAAAAAAATTAGAGATATTATTTGTTTTATGAATCACTCCGCATAAACATTTACAACGATCCCAAAAATTTTAATGTGATAAAACATCGGCACTACGTTATGGTCGGGCTGCCAAACAAAAAAAAAAAAGAGGCGGATGCCCAATGGATTCCATTAGAAAAAATGAATATATTTCTAGATTATGAGCGTGAAATCGTTTGTTGTCGGTTCGGGAGCGGAGACCTGCAACAAAGATTTGGCAGTCCGCCACACTTTGGCTAGTGCACAGTTTTAATTCTCCTATTAAGACGTAATATTAATGTCCGAAAAATCTCGAACGATTATCAGACGGAGTAGCAGAAATACCGTGACCGATTTAAAAACCACTTTTTGTGGCCTATTGCTGTAATGGCCTACAGTTTAGTATCAAGCGCATTACTATTCGGCAACACAAAAAAAGACATCAATATGTGTTNTATTCGGCAACACGAAAAAAAGACATCAATAACACATATTGAGCGTTGCGCGGTTTGTTTTAATAAGGAGGTCGAAAATGTATTTTTATTGTTGCCCATGTCGTTGACTGAGGTTGTAACAATGTAGTATCGTTTGACAATCGCGCGCTCTTTATTAGTCACCATTACAACACATCGATGGGCAGCAATAATACATTGTGTTGTGCAGTGGGGTTTTGCTGAAAACGACCGAGTGTCGGACAAAGAGCGGAAAATCGATTTTGGAAAAGTCGACGAGTGCTGTACAGCTGCCTTGCCGCCTTCTCCGTCAAACTTCTCCGATGATAATTTAACCACTGTACCGTGTATAACGCCACCTAATGCCTTCTTGGTGTCGGCGCTAATACGATTGAAGCTTGTTTGACTTTTCTCGCTATCGTTGCTGCTGTCGTTGTCGGGTCACTCGCCTTTGTAAACGTTCACTCCGCCGACAGTAGTTGTATTGCTTGGACTAATGAGCTGGTCGGCCTTTCGGAAAAGGGAGGATTAATTGCGCGGATCCCGACGTAAAGAGAACGCAGCCCCTAGTGTTTTAATATCATAACTGTAATAATTGCGATAAACATAAAAAAGTTTATTTGTTTTGATTAATTAATTTTATTTTCGTTCGACGTCATCACCGGACCGACAGACGCATTCGTATACTGTATTCTTTAGATAATCCATCAGAATCGTATCAATTGTTTAGTTTTCGTGGATTTGTTAAATTCATTGACCTATTTCATTGTGTTATGATAACCAATTATTATAAAAGTAGTACTTCCTCTGAACACTTAATAATTGTTCACTATTTTTTTACTTGTGATTTTCAGACATTGTAGTAGCACCTCCTCCGACGATTTTGAACCACGGACAAGTCTCTCCTCTTCTTCCTACTACTCCAGTGAGGAAGAAGTCCAGAAAGGATGTGCCTTTATCATCGTCCCCGGGCCTTTTGGTGAGTTCTTCGTCGGGCTCGCCGGCGGCCCAGCAAGCCGAGAGCGACGGAGGGCACTCGTCGGACGGTTGCGGAGACCGGAAACGGAAGAAAGCCCGAACGACGTTCACCGGTCGTCAGATATTTGAGTTGGAACGACAGTTCGAACTGAAAAAGTACCTTTCGTCGTCCGAACGGTCAGAAATGGCTAAACTGTTGGGTGTCACCGAAACACAGGTAAGCAACCCTATTATTTCTGCCCTTTAGTCCAGTTTTCAGAATATTAATTATAATTAAGTCTTGTAGTTTACCATTTCTAGATTTCCTTAAAACAGACATTAGGTTTTAATGTATTAAAATCACTAAACACGAATAATATCAAAGCGAGCACAAATGTATTAATCAATAAATTATTGATGATAATAAATCATTACACTATTTATTGTTCTAAATATTGTTTAACTGGTAAATATATTTTGTAAACATTTAAATATTATTTGATTAGTTTTCGGACGTGAATTATTAAAGAAATTATCATTTTATTAGTAAATCACACGGTTTCAAATTGATTTCACTCTATTTATCGTATTTTTAACAGATTATTTTGTTTTGGTTATTTTTCTTTCATTCGTATACTATAGAATAACATCCAAAACAAACGTTTCATTTCAAACTCACATTTGGCTTAGATCCAGTCAGTATAGAAAAAGTCATAAAGTAATGTTATTGCATTTTAAGTTTTATTATTGTGCACTAACGGTATTTTTATTTGACGCTTATTCATTGATGATTATTTTATTAAGTATACTAATTTTTCAACAAGAAAAGCATATATTATTATGTTTACGGTTAAACNAGCATATATTTATATTATTATGTTTACGGTTAAAGTGTTTTAATCAAAATTAATTTATATTTCCGAGAAACGCCCTGCAGGCATTTGCATTGTAATATACTCTTATCTGAATATTGTTGTTTAATAATTTGATGGATTCTAAAACCTTTTGTTGTCTGAATGACTTTTGTTTTGTTTAGTTGTTCGTTTATAAAAATGTTGTTTACTCAATTTTAATGTTGTACGTGTTTTTTTATTAACTAGAGAATTACCATGGCAAAGATATTGACCGTTTTTATAGGTTATTCGTATACAATATAATTCGACTATAAATATAAATTATGCTCAATGAAAATTAGTAAAAAGATATTATTAAGTTTTGTTCTTCGAACTTAATAAGCTATTTAAGCAAGAAGAACACGAGAAGTATTAATTAAAATAATATAATACAATACGTTTATGATCTCAGAGTAGAGCGTAGGCAACTATCTCACTATCTCAAAATTAATTCCTTCAGCTTGAGTGAAACAATAAATTGTTGTTATTTATTTTTGTATTATTTTATTTTATTGTATGTACCGAATTATATTTTGATAAAACGGCAAGTATGTAATGTTTTAAGTACTAGTAGAGTTATACAAACTTAAGTTACTCAGGCAACTAATTTAAATCAGATATAACACGCGACATTTCGGTTTAAACATTTCAGACCCATCTTAGGGGCGGTGTATTTCTCGAACTTCCGTGTTCTGATTGAATACGTAGAGTCGGTAAACTTTGTTTCAAATTAATAGTCGTGTAGCATTGTTTGTACCGCACGTGCTCTTGATCTAACTGTATACAGGAGTTAACAACGCCCTAACTTGGTTTTTTTATTTTTGATTCCGTGCAAATTATTCAGAAATTTTGTCGATGACCTCTACCATTATTAGTTTCAATAACGACCCCTATAATTTTGTCGAAGATTCAGTGGATGAGTGTAACCGTAAGTGAAAGAAACACCTTTATAATGACTTCCGACCCGATCGAATTCGCGATAAGTGTCCTCTAAACGATGATCGTTTCTATCTTGACCGGTATGAGTAAGAACAAATTTTATGTTGTTAAAAAAAAAAACTGATGGTTTATCTTAAAAAGCCTCTAAGCACATGTCAGTGTGTAACGAATAACAACGACCGAAACTGTTTAAACGGTCGGTAGCTAGTCGTTAACGTAAACGAGTGTGCTTTACTGTATTTCACTAGTGTGTAATATATTAAAATAGACAAAACTGTGGTAGGCTCACAGCGCAGCTAAAACGTTAAGGAGACTGTTCGAATTTCAAAAAAATATGTGTTTTAAAATGGCTGCTGCTGTTGGTGGAACTCCACCACAGTATGACAATTTTGATTCTCGTGTTTAGTTTGGCAGTCTTGCAGTGACAGTTGCTGTTCTCTCTAAGGTATTGCCCCGGAGTAAAATAATATCGGTTATCTTAAGCCAGAGTGCAAAACTTTATAATTATAGCGTTAAACAACTCAGCTCTCTTCAAAACTTTCTCGGCTAACTACTTGATAGTTTTTCATTGTGATGCTGAACAACGCTTGTGATTATTTATGTCCAAGTTTATTAAATGTAACGTAGGCAATCGTTGGTTTAGTATTTCAAAACAATTTTGTATGATAATTATAATTAAACCAGAAGCAATACATCTATATTGATTGTGCCATTGCCTAATGGGATATAAGTAATAACGATAAATTATCCCGTGAAGAAGTATCTTTAATTGAAATTAAACATTAGATTCTAGAAAAAAAAAAAACAATGTTATTAACTGTTGATAATTTGCAAAAGACTCGGTTTATGTAGTAATATTAAGTTAATCGCAAATTTAGAGTTAAACAACATTCTATAATTAAATATATTTTTGTGTCGGATAGCGATTTACAATTACAGAAGATGACCCGTTTTAATTAAACTATTGTAATGAACGTATAGTGTTCCATTTGCAGAGTATAATGCAGTTGATATGTTTTATGAATGAACCTGCAGAGTTGTTTTAATAAAATTATTCAGTGATATAATTTTCTATATTGTACATAGCTGCCAGCTGTTAAGTAAATTATTTAATATAAATCCGCTTCAGTGAACGACTAATGAGACGCTACAAGCTCGCGCCACCGCTTCTTTCCTACATAATAGTATTGTTGCTACATAATTAAACTAATTTATACAAAATACTGTGTAATAATATAGTAGTATAATTATGAAAATAAACGCTTTACTGTTTTGACATTTGCCATAGACTCTATTATGGCTATTATGTCGGTACGTTTTGTATCGCATGAGCGATTTACTAACTATGTACTAATCTGGTGGTAAACTATACACTTGATGTGTCCTGTTTATTTTTTTATAGAGTCCGATTAATCGACGGTCCGATAATATTTCAAGCTGTTTTAGATCGTCGTTCCAGTTAGTTTCCACAAACGACTGTGGGAAATCGTTTTTTTATCGCTTGAATGAATGGACAGCGGACTTTGTACTTTTTCTGAGTGGCATTTCCAAGTCGACACTTGTTGAACGAAACTACGCGTCGTTGCAGTGTTTTAATTATAGTTTCTAAGTTAATTAATGCACGGCCATTCCGATTGTTCGTGTGCTACCATAAAAAATAAAAAAAAACAATTTTAATTAAAACTGAACGGCTTACGTTCGGTGACCATATAGCGCACACAATGATAATTGTCTTTGTACTAATTTGTGAAGTTACAGTCTGTCTATTGTGTAAATTATCACGCGAAAATCGACTAAAAAGTAAAAACTATTGCCTAATCATTTAGTTCGAGTATTTTTAGACAACGTTATTGTTATTCAGCAACATTAATACAATTCGTTTGAGACTTTATAATGATATGTTAGTTACGCGCGAGTGCCTCAGAGTCGACCGAAAATTCACAAATTGTTAACCGCTTATGGAGTCTTGGGGTTNCTCAGAGTCGACCGAAAATTCACAAATTGTTAACCGCCAATGGAGTCTTGGGGTTTTTTCGATTCTATTGCGTAGCTCTAAACAAGTCGAACACCACTTAGACAACAAAACCGTAAACAAAAAAAAAAAAACAAATAATTAATTCACAAATCAATAATTGGCGGACTCGTAAAAATAATTATTATCGTTACAAGTCCGCCGTTGATATTCTGTGTGAATTTCCTTCCAAAAAATTCGTATACATCAATGTAATAGCATTGAAAAAAAAAAACGTTCTAAGAACCCATGTCTATTATTTGGCTTTTATTTTCTTTACCGTAATCAACCTCATGGCGGTTATGATTGTTATTTTTGGCACGTATCCTTACGCAAAACGGGTAAACATTTTCAGTAAACAACAAACGGCAACGCGCATCCGTATGCATTAATATATCATACACTACCTTTAGTATTATATACCTGTTGCTAAACCTCCTGCGTATATAGTCTCTCATCCGATTGCTCGACAAAAAATACTTAAAATAATAATGATCATACATTAAAACGTGATGTCACGATTCACGGCTCCCGAAAACTTTTACACGCACACTTGTACAAAAAGTAACAGCGGCCTGTACCTAAAATTAAAACGGAAGAAAAAATGCCAGCAAGTATTATGTTCGTGTATGTATACGCTTACTCTACTGTTCAAGAATAAAACTATGGGACAATTGTTTCCTTTTTTTTTTAAAAGTTAATGTTTTATCGGTGTATTTTTATACAAACATTAGCGGCAGAGAATGGACAGAGGAAAAAAATTAACCACAAATCGAAATGACGCACATTAGCTAAGCAATGAAAATAAAAACAAAAGAATCCGCTCGTCTGTGAATATGTTGTAGGTTTTGGACCTTTATTTTACAAACAATGTTTTTCGCGATTTAGTGTAGAAATTAGCTTAGTTATCAAATGCAATAAATGGTAGCTCTAAATAATTTTTACTACTCATTTGACGATTCCTCCCTCCCTGGGCTGGTTGGTAAATCAATAACTTTTGACACGGGCAAACGCCCGTTAATAGTAAAAATTGTTGCCGTTGTTCGTATTTATACCGACGATAATCATTAACGTTGAAATAATAAATATTGTGTAACAAAAGATATTGTTGCCCGCAGATTTCCACCTACACCCTTCCATCATAAACCCACCGTTTCCACGGTGTTTTAATATTAAAATATCGTTTGAGCGAAAATGGCCGTCGATTGAAGTGCAATAACCATAAACTCAAGTGGTGTACACTGTGCGTTTGTGTTCAAGTACCGTAGTACATAAGTATGCTTATTGCATTTTAATTCGCAAAATTTTATTGCATTGCAAACAAGTCAGCAATTATATCCCGCATAAATGTTTAAAAAATAAATAAATAATTGGAATCAATATGTGCACTCCGAT